GAGTTAGCTGTCTTCTCTGCTCCGGCTTCGTCCCCTGTGAAGAAGCTTTTTCTTCCCTTTGATGTGTTCAGGCAATGCAGTCAGGCCGCTTCCTGGGCCCTATTGACAGGGCAGTGACAGATTGTTTCCTCGAGCAGGTGTTGGTTTTTCTCTTGGTGGATTTCACTTCTCAATGAGCCTTTTCCAATTCAGGCCACCCCCGGGCCGGCGCTGGTGCGGACACCGACTGACACAGGGCAGCAGCTCCAGGCGAGCGGCGCAGGGCTGCAGCAGGCTCATTTCCAGGGCATCTCCCCTACTTCCATCTTCTCCTTCCAGCTTCCCCAGCAAAAGCTCTGGGGGATCCTCCGTGGCAGCATGAAGCTGCGAGGTGACTTGCTTAGTTGTACACCCTGAATTCCCACTCATGTGAGGAACAAGGACGGGGTCAGGAGACAGTTCCTCACCCACAGGAAGATGCTGTTTGGTTGTGGTTTGAGACGGGAGGATGAATTCACCCAGGTGGGGCAGGGGAAGTGGCATCTGAGGCCCAAGGGATGAAGACCCAGGGGAATGGAACTGGTTTTAGGGCTGCCACTCCAGCAGCGAAACTCCTGCGTGCGTTTCTAGAGAACTGGAGGAGCTGCCTTAGAGTAGGACCTGCTGCTGTGGGCTCATGCTTGGATTGTTTGAGAAGTGCTGGAAACCAGCGCAGCCTTGTGCTGTCATGCTCTGAATTTAATTATTTATGAGTTGCTCTTCTCTATCAGCATATGTGCAGTGACTGAAGTTGCACAGGTTCAGCTGTGTCCAGTCTGAAGCCAATATCCTTAAAATAAACACGGGAGCAAGCATGAAGAGCACTGCCACAGCCCTTAATTTTTACTGTAGACCTTTTCCTTCCCCTCTCCACTGTGATGTAATGAAATAAAGCATCTTATTTTCTCCCATTGCCAAGGGCCCTAACTGAAAACAACCCCCTGCTGATCTCTGCTGCTCAGAAACAGGGAGTTTTATTGGCTTTAGTTATTGCATTTTATTCAGAGCCTTGTATGTGGGTGAGTGAGGCCCCCGGAGGGATTCGACAAGTATTTGCATTCCATTTGTGTCTTCTGAGTGCTGGCTGCTGGCGTACCCAAGGCAGAGACACCAGACGTGTGATCCAGAGCCGATGTGGCTTTCTTGTGTGGAGGGAAGGCAAGATGTGGAGGATGGCCCTGGGACAGAAGATGCAGGATGTCACAGGGACTGACCCACGGATGAGGCTCCTTTCCTGCAGCTGACAGAGCTCTGCTGGGCTGCTGAGAGCACTTTCTGCAGAGGAACTCACTCAAGGACGCTGCTGGGGGTGTTTTGATCCCTGGTGCATCTCAGGGCTAGTTTGTACAGTGTGGCAAGATGCCTCCTGCAGCCCAGGGAGGCTGGACCTGCTGGGGACAGGGAGAAGCCCCAGCCTGGGGGATGCTCTTGGGTGCCCTGGCCATCCAAGGTGCCATCTCCATCCTCTGGTCAGTAACGCGGCTGGGTTCTGCCACAGCTCTGGGTGCTGTGCCATAACAGAGCTTCTCCTTCCCCTTTGGAGACAAGGGATCGCTTCCTCAGCTCAAGCTGCAGGTGCTCTGTAGGGGCTCCCCACCACAGCAGAGGTGTCACAGGGATCTTTTCTGGCTTTGCCTTGAGCTGCACACTGGAATTTTGCTGTTTGAAATTCTAGTGAGTTCTGTAGATCAGCTGAAATCATCCAAATTCACATTATCTCAGGCTAAAACTTGGCCCCTGGGTTTCCACAACCCTGGCTCGCCGTTGGGTTGTGCATCACACCGTGGCCCTGTGTCCCACAGCAGCCAGTCCTTGGCTGACAAGAGGAGGGAAAAGCAAACACTTGGCTGAGAGAAGCTATAAAACTCAGTGTTCCTGAGATAATTAGTATGTTGGGAAAGTGACAGGAAAGAGAATCAAGCAAAGCCAAGGTCAGCGGCTGCTAATTAAGAATCAGCACCTTGTGTCAGCCTGAGCTGTGGCTTGGAATTGAAACACACCCTGGGAGAGACCTGGGGAGATAAAGGTGATGGAGTTACCCAGATAGCAGCTAACGGGATTTGAGCAGGGCTTGAAAGTTTCATTCCAGCGTGGCTGATAAAAAGGGCAAAATGAGAGAAAATAGCGGAGGGAGGCGCGTGCTTTGCTTCCAGGAGGGATTTTTGCCTCTGCAGCTGCCGGAGCCTTGCAGACGTAGTGGGATCTGAGGAAGAAGATCATCTGGTTAAAGAAATAATGGAAGTGATTAATTTATTTATTCCCAAAGCTCCTTCTCTGGCATTTTTGGAGGCTCTTCTGGGAAGGTCGCAGCAGCGTGTTGGTCCCAGTCACAGTCTTGTGGGAGGGTGGGAGAGGTGGGGCTGTTGGGTGCTGCAGAGCTGGCAGCCGTGCTCCCCTCCTGCCCTCTGCTCCGATGGGAGCTGTGCCCGCCTGCTGCCTGGGTTTCCCTTTGTCAGGGACAGGAGCACAGTAAGGAAGGGCCTGTGGATTAAATGATTTGGGTCCATTGGGTTCAGGTGGAGCTGGTTTAACCTTGCAATCCAGGTTTAACCTGGATTAACCTTGCGATGCAGAGGCGTCCATATGGAAGATGAAATGGAGCTGAGTGCCTCTCACAAATCTCCCAGACAGGTGCTGGCAGGGAATGGGACCTGAGTGTCCCCTCTCCCAGGCTGGGTTGGAGCAGGTTGAGTTGTGGGGGACTTTGGGGGACTCTGGGAGCTGCACTTTGCATGGGGACAGCAAGGACAGGACCTGGGTTCCTGCACAGCAGCTCTGGGGTGTTCCTGCTGCCCCTGCCAGGAGCAGGTTACATCTGGTATGGTCATGGGAAATGAAGGAGAATTTCTTTGTGAAAGGTTATTACTGAGCAGATTATTTTATTTTAGAGGAAGGCAGTTTAAAAAAGGTGCCCTTGGTTGTAGAAATGAATTTGTATGTCAACACTGCTCTGTCTCCTGCCTGGGGAAGCAGGAACAGGTTTAATGCCTGTGATTTCCAGGGTGCCAGAAGCCTCTTCCCTTTGCTGTCCCGGGTCCAGGTGAGTGGTGCTGGGTGGGAGGAGGTCGCTCCTTTGAGCACCCAGCACCATGAGGAGCTGGGCAGGGACTCAGAGCTGCTGTTCCCATTAGCAGTGCAGAGAGCAGCAGCTGAATATGTATTAGCATGAAAACCTGCCCGGCCTTTCTCCCGCGTTAGCGCTGCTGCAGCGCGCTAAATGTGACACCACGTAGTGGATCTTCAGCAGAATGCACGGGGAGCTGCGTGACCCTCTCCGAGCAGTTAACGCTGGTGCTGGAGCAGCCACGGAGCTCGGTCTGAAGGGCTGTTTTTCTGTCAGTATTCACAATTCCATAGCCCAGGCTGCTGCACGGGGCAGCTGTCGGCGTGTGCTCTGCTCCTGCTCCCCCGTCCGATGCTCTGCAGCACGGAGGGTTATAACATTCCACGGTGTTTGGGTGTGTGCACATCAGATCAAAAATGTGCCCAAAATGTGTGCTATAGCACTGTCAGTGCATGGTGACCCACCGTGGGCTTTGCTTTCCAGGATTTCTTGACTGACCTGATGATGTCTGAAGTTGATCGCTGTGGTGAGAATGAGCATCTCATTTTCAGGGAGAATACACTGGCCACCAAAGCAATCGAAGAATACCTGAAGCTGGTGGGGCAGAAATACTTGCAAGATGCCTTAGGTACGTACAGAGCGTTGGCACGTCTGGCCCAGAGAGGTCCCCTGGGCTGCAGGGTGCTCTGCATGGTGGAGACCATCAGCTGGGCCCTGATGGCTGTAGGAGGATCCAGGATTTACCTGCTGGAGGGTCCTTTGGCAGCGGGGTCCGAGCCCGGGGCTCAGCCACGGCCGCAGCGGGCAGCTCTCTGCTCCCAGGTGAAGGTCACCGCTGAGTTAGCGCTTTAATCTGCTTTCAGAGGAGATAACAAATTGATATTTGAAGGCATTGTGCTGCCTGCCAAGTCTTCTGTCTCAGCGCTGGCAGTGTCATGGCGGCTGATTGAATCCTTCCCCTGATTGCACTCCCCTGCCAGAGACGCTCCCCCAGTTCCTCCCAGCCCCAGTGAGTCAGATGAGATCTCCCAGGTTCCAGTGATGGGAGCTGCCTCCCGGATCACACTGGGAACCCTCCTGGTGGTTTTTGGTTGGGGTTTTTTTTTTTTGAGTGCTGGCTATGTTTATGGCTCCAAAAATATTTCTCTTGATGCAAGTGAAAATAATTAGAGCCTCTGCTTCTGGGCAGGTCAGGAAGGAATTGCTGGTTGCTGCGTGCAGCCGGCACAGCGCGCGGACGGGGAGAAGCCTTTGAACCTTGTGTCTGAACGCAGCCGAAGGCTGAGGTTGGACCCACGACCGAGCAGTAGGATGAGCAGAGTTTCTATTGAGCTGTTAATTTTTCAGTATGTTGGGTTCCTACTAGTGGATTTGTGTAATTTTGAGCGAGGAGCAAAGAAGCATAAATACTTTATTAAGATAATAATAATAATGACAACATCGAGGAAGGGGAGATCCTTGAGCAAATTCAGACAAACCAACAGATAGCCCACAAGAATAGGAAAAGGAGTATTATTTATTTATGCCTTGTAATGCTTTCTGGTTGAAGGCAAGTCTGTAAGTAGATTACCTTATAAAATTTCTAAAAAGCCAGGAGATTAATGAAGGTAGAGAATTTTGAAATATTGCCCTTTCGGGGCTTGATGCAAATGCTGCCAGGCCAGCTCCAGCCAGTACAGGAGGAGCCTGCGGTTCTCGCTCGCTGTTCGGGGCACTGATGCTGTGTAGACCTTTTATCAGTGAAATGATTCATCTGTGTGTCACAAGGTAACACAACACAGCGTAGCGCTCTCCTTTAAACAGTGAAGCACAAGCAAGTAACAGGGCTGGGTAATAACAGCAGGCATCACCTGCAGGCGAGCAGAGAGGCTCCAGAGCTTCCCTGGCAGAGCTGGAGATACATCGGAGAGGTTCTCCAGCGTGTAATTAAAGTCTGTTTTGGCAATTGGGGAGGAATGCAGACTGGAGTGGGCAAAAAACAGGAGGATGGGAAAATCCAAGGTGGTCAGGAATTAGGAGATGAGCAAACCAACTGGAACTAGAAAGAAACCAAAGCAAACCTTTCTCCAGAACATCACCCAGACCCACAGGTCCCTCACTAAACACTGCCTCTCAATCCCCATTGTCCTGTCCCCCAGTCTCTCCAGCCACTGCTGTGTGCTAACTGGGATGGATGACTGCATCCCTCCAGCTGGGCAGCCCTCGGAGTGGTGGGCAGCACCCTGAGCCCGGGTGGCAGGGCTCTGTGCCCAGGTACCCCGGGGTGAAAGGTGGCACGAGAGCGAGGAGCTGGCAAAGCCACCCTGCACTGAGAGTCTCTGCAAGAGTGAGGAGCAGCCAGGCAGCAAACAGGAGGGCGAGGAAACACAGAGAAATATTTTAATTTAATTTTGTGTTATGTTCTGCTCAAAATAAACCAAGTAAATTGTTTCTTTCCTTTAATTACCTATTTCTCCTGTGAATCACAGTGGTTTGTCAGCGCCAGGGCACAGTCTGCAGTAGCAGACCATCCTACCAATAATTAGAGAACTTGCCAGCATACTTCCTACTGGATGAGCCCGAGGGAGCGTCTCTGGAACGGGTGTGATGGGGGCTGGGGCAGGCTGAGGAAGCGGGTGTTTGGCAGCAGAGTTCTGGTGCAATAGCCCACAGCCACAGAGAGAGAGCTGCCAACTGGGGAAGAGGGATGAAACGTGCCTCAGGAGCCCAGGTGCCTTTCTGCATTGGTGCTGTGTGAGCTCCCAAGGCATTGGGGCTGCTCCTGGGGCTGCTCAGAGATCTTGAGAGCTGGCTGGGGCATGGCCTGGTCCAAAGCCACCGCCTGCTCTCGTACCCCGCTTCTGTTCAGGCAGTGGGATGGGGTGCAGGGTGACTGCTGGGGCACTGGGGCTTCACAAACAGAATTGCTTGAAGGCTGCGTCTCATGTCTTCAAAACCAATCACTGACTGTCTGTTTTACAGGGGAATTTATCAAGGCACTCTACGAATCAGATGAAAATTGTGAGGTGGATCCCAGTAAGTGTTCGTCTTCAGACCTTCCTGAACATCAGAGCAACTTGAAAATGTGCTGCGAGCTGGCCTTCTGCAAAATCATCAACTCCTACTGGTGCGTAACCAGGAGTGTCAGTCCCCAGTGCAGAGGGGGTACAGCTGCAGGGGACAAGGGTGGCAGCTGTCCATCTTCAGGCTGGTGTCCAGTAGCTGTGCTGCTGGCAGCTTGTCAGAGAGCTTTGGAGGGAGAGCTGCGGGGCTCTGCCCGCATCCTGCAGCACACAACAGGGTCCTGGTGGTCCAGGAGCAAGGATGAGGATGGCCAGGGGGTGAGACAGCAGCTCCCACTCAGCCAGAGTTTGGAGTGTCTCTCTGGAGGTGTGACAGCCTCACTGATTCTCCATCACGCTTGTGTCCAGTGGGTGCTCAAGGGTTCCTGGTGCACAGACACGGGGACAGGGCAGTGGAGTCAAGGAACATGAGTCACCTTTGCCAGTGTGACCAGTTCAGAGAGGGACTTGATGCCAAGTGTATGTGAAAGTCTCGAATAAAGGACAGAAACGCATGTCCTGGGTCTCCTGCCCGCGTAACGATTCAGTCTGGATCAGGCTGAGGGGCTCTGCCTGCCTCCCCCGGAGCATCAGGTGAAGGTCTGAGGTCCTCTGCAGCAGGCAGGCTCTGTGGCACCAGCACAGGCAGTTTCTCTTTGGGCTGATGCTCTCTTATTGCAGAATGCTGGAGCCCAGGAGGATGCTGCTGTTCCCCTGGGTTGCTGTTTGGCTCAGCACCCTGCATTCCTCTGGGTTAACCCCTCTCCCCCAGCCCTGGGGTGCTTGCTGCGGCGCAGATGGGGAGCCCATTGCCTCCTCGAGGCCTGGTATGCAGTTTGAGGCATTTCCTCGTTGTTTGTTCTCAGGGTAAAAGTTCTTGCAACTCATTAGGACAGACCTCAATATGCAAAATTGATTGGAGTAAGGTAGTAGTATCTTGTGGTGGTGGTGGTGGCTGTACTCATGGTGTTACCTGCTGCTCAGCCCTGGGGACAGGGAGCCAGGAGTCTGTGGGGCTGTTACAGGTGCTGCCTGCAAAAATGACCTGAAAGGGGAAAAAAAAAATGGGCTTGTGACTCTGTACTTGGAGAAATGAAAATATTTTCTTTCTGCTTCTTGGTAACATACCCAGAGACTCTTGTCCTGATCATATGAGAGAACTATGATTTTTGTCTTACTGCTGGATTTGCAGTCTTCCTGCTTAAAACTTGGGGCTTAGTTTTTATTAATGTATTTAGTAGCAACACTGTTGTTGCAAAACATCAACTAAGGAAACTACTGGAGGAAGGAAGCCTTTGATAATAAGAATTTCTCATTTTCTCTCCTATCCCAGCTGTTGTGTTGAGGTCTGAAGACTCATTATATATAATCTCCCAGGACACTGAGCGAGCCCTCCTGCCAGCCCGAGAAGGGAATTGCTTTCCCTGATGTTGCTCAGGGAGAGAACAAGCAGCAAGAGGCTCACTCAGGCTTCGTTTGTCTGCCCCGAATAAGCAAAGGGCAGATTTCTTTGCAGGTATCCAGGACCTTATCCTGGGCCAGTTAGTAACTCTCTGACTCAGGAATGGCATTTACCTGCTCTCCCAAGAGGGATTCACTGCTTTTAGTCACCAGTGGTTTATAATTGTTTGAATTAATGTCTTCCTAAAAATACCCAAAGCAGCACTAAAAGGTCAGTCTAAAAATAGGCTGGAAGAGTGACCTAAGGAAAGTCAGGAATGCACGGGAAGTTTGTGCCTCCAGCCCAGCTGAGCTGCTGCTCGGAGAGGTTCCTCCTCAGTCCTTTGTGCTCAGCGGTTCTTGGGGATTAATTGGGCTGATGAGTGTTTGGGATTGGCCAAGGTATCCTGACAGCTAACGATCTTGCTTTAAATAGAGTGCCAGTGTGCATGCTCATCTGCCGGAGAGACTCAGAGAGAGGAAAGAGGTTGACAATAACTGAAAATTGTTATAATTATGACATAATTTGGACATCTGGAAAGATTCAGCGTAAGCAGAATTTCAGCATGTGGAAGCTCGTTACTGGAAAGTTGGGTAATGAATTAGGGGCCCGTTTGTCACATAAAGCCAGCTCACTGGATTCCATCCGCTGCTCCACAATTAAACTTTTATGGTCTCCCAGGCTGTGGCAGTGAGCAGCGCTCGCGGGCTGGACGCAGCCGCTGCCTCCGTTTTCAAGGGTTTACTTTCCAGTAACTGTACAACCTGTCCTGATCACTCAAGCTTTAAATTGCTTAAAGGATTCTCCTGTTTCTGGGCAAATACCATGAAGTAAAAGGGCTTTGTCCAATTGTGTGGATCAAGCCAAAGACAGAGGAGAATTTATCCAGCCAAAGACGTTGGCTAACGTTATTTATAAAGCACAGGGTAAAAGCTCATGAATGTAAAAGCACGAAGCCAACACGGAGAGGAAGCTGAACATGATGGCAGCGTTTGCCAAGCGCTTCCACGGAGTGTCACTGCCCTTGTCAGAGGGTCGGAGAGAAACCTGAAGCTGGCAGATCCATGAAGTGAGGGGTGAGGGCTCTGCCTGCTGAGCCTGCAGCTGCTGGCTGAGAACGGCTGCAGAGCTCACGGCCACGGCCGCATGTCCGCAGAGTGTCTGGGGCCCTGGGAAGCAGAGGCCAGAGCACAGGGAGTGCTGGCAGCAGGAGGAACACCCTTGTGCTCACCTGGAGCCCTGGCAGCACTGCCACAGGGGCAGCACACGGGTGGGTCCTTCTCTCAGAGTGCTTCTCTGTTTCGGAGCCTCCCACCTGGTTCTTGCTGCTGCTGGACAGTGGATGGTGTCTCTGGCCATGCAGTTCCCAGGGTTGTCTCCTCTTCCCGACCTGTGTGAGGTTCAACCGTGGGGCAGTCAGTCCCAGTGAGGGGGACAGCTGGGGAGAAGCCATCTGATGTTGCTTTGCTTCTCCCAGATAGTCCCTGCAGCAAAACCAGGAAACCATCCTCTGAAATGGCTGTTTGTAAGGAGATTTGTGGCCTAAAATGGAGCCTGAGCCCTCTTCACTCTGCTCTTGTACTGTCCAGCCATCGGTAAACAGCTCTGGTTCTCTGGTTTTGGAACAAAGAGGGTGGTTGCTGGCCCGGGCAGCCTCCAGTGCAGGTGGGAGCTGGGTACCACGCACCCAGGGGACCGTGGCATCGCGGTGGGACCCATTGCCAGCCGGCTGCCGCGGGCGGGAGTGTCCAGCTGAATAAATAACACACGCTGGGAACAGGATGAGGTGGGAGCTGGGAGCTAGGGAGGGCCGAGCAGAAACAGGCAGCCAGTTCTGCAGCGATAAGGGCTGCTGCAGCGAGCAAGGGGGGAGTTCTGGTGTCCAGGGAGGCCAGGCTGAGCTCCGTGCAGTGACAAGGCTGGAGTAACTCCGGTGGGGCTCCGTGATTGTGCTGGTCACAGCGGGATTTGATCTAGATGCTTGAATGAGAATATTACAGTTTGCACAGCCCTCCCTCCAAGCACCAGTGACCCCAGTACTGCTGGTGTTTCTGCCGAGGGGGTCCCCACGGTGCTGTGTTGCTGTAGGAGACACTGTCTACCTTGGTGGCTGAGCTTCCCCCCAGTTCCAAGTGCCCCGTGATACAGGCAAGTGACTTGTGATGAGCTGCTCTGCACAGTTTGTTTCAGATCTCTGTCCCCCCAAGTTGGCTGGGTTGTGGCACCCAGCACAACCAGGACCATCACTCTGATGAACGCTGCTTCTCTTACAACTTCACGGAGCATCTTTGCTTTTTCCTGAGCGGTTTGAGTCTCCTAACGGACACTCTGCAGAAAGAGAAGGACAAGGACAAGACCTGGGACTGGTGTAGATAGTGGTGCTGCTGCGGGTCAGCGGGGTGAGGTTGTCCTACAGGTCTGGGTGTCACACCCCACTCGATACACACCATGTTTAGTTACTGCTGTGTGACAGTTTGAACACCTTGGCCTTGAACTTGCTGTCTCTCTGTGTGTCCTTCTGTCATTTCAGTGTCTTCCCAAGGGAGCTCAAAGAAGTTTTTGCTTCATGGAGACAAGAATGCAGCAACCGAGGCCGCCCGGACATCAGTGAGCGACTGATCAGTGCCTCCCTGTTCCTCCGGTTCCTCTGTCCAGCCATCATGTCCCCGTCCCTCTTCAGTCTCCTGCAGGAGTACCCGGACGACCGCACTGCTCGCACTTTGACCCTCATCGCCAAGGTCACCCAGAACCTCGCCAACTTCGCCAAGTAAGGGTGCGGGTGCGGGAGTGGGAGGGGGCAGCTCTGGGGAGGGGGAAGGAAACCACGGGCGTGTGGGCAGAGCCACGGCTCCGGCATCAGGCGTCCCACGCTGGCCGCTCCCTCCCTCCATGGAAAGAGCCTGTTTGTTTCCTGTTGGCTCTTTTCCCCGCGTCGCTCTGGGACCCGTTCCCTCACTGTCAGATCAGGGAGATCATTTGTATTTCCAAAACAGGACATGTTTTATGAGCAGGAAAACAGGCTGTTTTGACCACACAGCCAAGCGTGCAGGGTGGCAGCGGGAACGCCCTGGCACAGCCAGGCACTCTGTCCTGTCACAGGCGCCAGCAGGACCAGAACCCAAACACCAGCGATGGTGTGCACAGCTCAGGAGCTGGTCTTGCCCTCCTGTGAGCTCTGGGACCTTCCCTGCTGTTAAACTGCAGTTGCCTGAACCGGGGAGGTGTGAAAAGAGAATGGAGACACTATCAATTCCTAACTAAGCCCATTGGTTTGATGGAAACAAAGCGAGAGATTTCTGAAAATCTTTCCCCCAGCTGCAGCTCTGAGCTACTTATTCTGAGCTCTGATAACAAAATGATGAGCTTTCCAAAACGTGGATGGACAGTTTCTGTCTAAAGCTTCTTAGATTTGGAAACTAGCTTAGCGCACAGGCTGGCAGTCAGGAGCGTGCGCGCACGCACGCGGATGCAGACGGGAGACGTACAAGTGTGTTACACTCCCTGACAGAAACCCTCTGTATTCCTGACCAATCCCTGACTAAAGGGTTTTCAGATTTTCAGCACATTGCAGGAAAGACTCTCTAACTAAGCTGACATTAGTCAAGCCAAAGTGATCAAGCTGAGCTGTCCTTCAGATGACACACAGCCAAGCCAAGCCTCGCAGAACCGCGGGCACTGGCACAGCACTGACCGCTGCTGGTACACTTGAACCACGAGGTCCTCCCTCTTGTGCTCCAAATAAGACATCTGACTGAGAGCAGAGGCTGGGTGGAGTGCTTGGAGGGCAGGAGAAGGTTGCAGGCAGCCCGAGGGGACAAACGGGCTGACCCAGCTGCAGGTGTGGCTCTCCAGGGTGATCCCCAGAGCCATGTGGGGCAGCAGCAGGCGCATCGCTGGGGTTAACCTCGGGGTCCCCAGGAGAGCGGGGAGAGTGCAGGAGGAGTCCTACCACCGACACTCACTGGGCTTCAGTCAGTTGATGGAGCTTGGCATGAAGATTTCTGTATTTCCAGTGACAGGTCCTGTTTCTGAGGCTGGGCCCTGACCCAGCAGTGAGATACTCTCCATTACCAGGAGTGGTTTTGTTTCTCTAGTTGTCACCTTCGTTCCTACTGTGGCGATCCCATGCTGAGGAGGACTTAGCTGGATTAGACTGGAGTTAATTTTGGTTCCATGATCAGTGAGGAGTGCCAGGTGCCTGCCAGCAGCCTGGGGATCCCAAAAGGGTTCAGATGCCAGAGGAAGGTGCTGGCTTTCTTACCTGCGTGTGTACCTCCCTGCCCTGTTGACTGCACTTCTGTTGTCAGGATTTCGCTGAAATTCGTCTTGCTGTCTTGATAGGTTTGGCAGCAAAGAGGAGTACATGTCCTTTATGAATCAGTTCCTGGAACATGAATGGACTAACATGCAGAGATTTCTCCTGGAGATTTCCAATCCTGAAACCATCTCAAACACAGCTGGCTTTGAAGGCTACATTGACCTGGGCCGGGAACTGTCCACGCTGCACTCGCTGCTCTGGGAAGTCATTTCTCAGCTGGAGCAGGTACCCCCGGATCGCAGGGACGGGCTGTGGGGGAAGCACAGTTGGCCAGTGCTGGGCATGTGCACCACAGCACACACCTCCCGTGCCCAGCAGATACCAGTCCATTCGCTGTCTCTGTGCACAGCACAGCTCCTCCTAACCCTTAGCGCTTCCCCAGCTGTGCATGTGCTGCAGAAGTAGCTCATTCTGTACATTCTTTGAGAAGATGAGTTCAACTTTTTTCCTCCTCTGCTGTTTATGAGTAGGGGGTGAGGATGGATGGGCAGGTGGGATGAGAAGGCAGAGCTGCTGAACACCAGGCTTTTGTCTGTCCCAGCAGATTCAAAAGGTTTCTTTTGAATTCAAAGGATTTTTGTCAAGAGGCCTGGACCAAACTTGGCTGTAGGTGTCTTCTTCTGTATCTGAACTTTGTTAATCACGCTCTGCCCCACAGCAGCAAATGGTTTCTAAAGCCACATGCTGTGGGACATCCCGTGGCCTCAGCGGTGGGGGTGAATGATGGAGAAATTAATGTTGTTTATGTGGGTCACTGAAGAGACTGTCCAGTGACTGGCAGAGCCCATGGTTCTCTAGCAAAAATACAAGATGTTGGTAGTAATTCTGCTCTCTCTTCTCCCCAGGGCACTGCAACAAAACTTGGGCCTCTGCCTCGGATCCTGAGGGACGTCAACTCGGCACTCAGCAACCCGGCCTGCGTGCAGGTCTCCGTCACAGCCGATCACACCGCGTCCACGCCCAACGCTGGCAACAGCATCTCTGCGGGGCTGCAGAAAATGGTGATAGAGAATGACTTATCTGGGTAAGAGCATAACGGTGGCCTGGCCACAGACCAGGGAAATACCCAATATTCACCTGCTGCCAAAACCTGAGCACCTGCGGGGACAGGCAGGACAGGGGGTAGCCCTGATCTGATCACAGAACTGATACTGGATGTAGTTCAGCTCCCAGTCTAGACGAAGCAGTGGGTGGTAGTGCAAGCACATGGCTCCATCCTGGGTCCCTTGAAAGCCAAAGCTGGGGATGTGGTCTGGAAAATCAAAAACTGGGCAGTTCTGGTCTCAGCTGTTGAGATATGGCTGCAGGAGCAACATGATCATCCTTTGAGGACTTGAGGGCTTGTCTGTGCTGACCTCAAAGGGATGGGTATTGCCCTGAAGTCCATTAGGTCTCTGAGCATGCAAGATTTAGAGGATTGGCCTTGTCCATCTTTGTAAGACAACAGGGTATGTGCTGAATTCCCTGAGATCCAGTTCTGGACGTTTCTCTAACAGTTGCCAAGCTGTAGAGGCCTAACAATCAATTCAGGTCTGGTCTGCCCAGTTTTGACCATACTGGGTGTTTTTAATGATGCGCAGTGATTCACAGACACAGTCACCCAACGTGCTGCTTGGCCTCGTGTAAGGGGTTTCATTCACGGGGAAGGTGACTCTGTGGCAGACCTGTAATGTTTCTGTTTGTGGAAAATGAAATGGAGCCCACACAAATTGAGAGACCGTGCTAGTAAAATAGTTTGTAAGTGGAAGCTACATAATATTTAACAGTTTAATTAGGAATGAAAGGCAGCAATGGCACTGGACTTGCTCTAATCAGAGCTTTCATCTCTAATGCTTCCCAGCGTGAGGTACAATTATTTCAGTCTAATGCTGTGGAGGATCTCTGACAATACGCTTTCACCCAAATACTTGCTTACAATGCACCATCTTTGATCAGTAGTATCTGCACATTAAGCTGCTGCCAAGCTCTTTCTTCCTATCCCCAAGAAATCAATATTGCATGACTGTGTGTTCCAGCAGGAGGAAGGGGCGGATAACCCACCGTTGCTGGGCTTTAGCTCTGCTGTTGGCACGGTCTGTCTGACCCTTGGAGGTCCCCACGGTGCTCTGTGCCATACAGATGATGCCCTGAGGAGCTCCCCGCCCAGGCGCAGAGCAGGGGACCCCAGAGCGGCGTGGGTGCAGCCAGCTGGGAGCAGGAAGGGTGACACGTGCTGTCAGCCTGAGGAGCAGATCCAGCCCCCGAG